AATATTAACAAATAATATTATTTTTAAAAAATAATATTATTTAAAGAATCTTTTGTATTGTATCACTTTATACTTTAACGTTTTCATTAATTTCTTTTATATATTTTCATATAAGAGATGTTTAGAAAATGAGATCGCATGAGATATTTAAAACATTTTTTTCATAAAAGTTTATTACGATTTATGCCATTCATACAGATAAGAAAATTATTTTAAATATTTATTTGTAGCTTAATATTGTTGGAAACATGCCGAACATACACACAGAAAAAATTTCCATATTAATACATTTATATATAAGATTTTAAAAGCTCTTTCTTTTTTTATTAATATATTTTCTATTATACAACGAAATTATTTATGTAGCGTTGATTACAGATTTCCATCGCAAGAATGTGATGTTGTGATCAGAAATTGTATTAAAATTAACATATATGTCGTGATACCACCCACCATCTAAAAAACAATAATTTAAAATATAAATAGTACATCTTTTAATAGTTAGCAACAAATTCACTTACTGTTGCGACAAGCGTCGCGTCCACAGTGAGTCCTTTTGTCGAAAATGTATTTTTACAATGCAGTATTTGCAAAGAAAAGAGTTGCAACTGCAACGTCAAATCGTAAAGAATTAAATACGAGAACGAAAAAAATAGTATTAGTAAACATAATTTTAGTAAATTTAATAGTTAAAAAATGTTAATAAACACTTATATATTCAAGAAAAATTACCTTATTTTTTATTTGCTTATCTCTTGTGCTATTATGTACGTCGTAAATGATAGTACTGATCTTTTGGATTTCATTCTTGCCAGTCTCACAAGCCCAGACAATAAACATTACTTTTATAATATAATACATCATGGATGTTAAGAACACATCAAGAAAATACTCGTCAAAAGTAATGAGTACTTCACCTTGCCAGCGCACCAAATAAAAATATAATTCAACGGTAATTTCAATGAAGGACAAGATTACAATAGCAAGAAGTTGCAAGCTGAAGATTCTGTTTAGCATTTGTACTGTTTTGGTTAATATCAAATATTGTTTCATCAAAGATTTGAGTTCTTCCAAGAAAAATTGATTTTTCGACATGTGGCAAATTAAGTTGGAAATAGGTAATTTTTCATTGTTTATCGTAAGTGTATGCTTGTGAATTAAATCGTCGTTGATTTTCTTGAAGCAGGCCTTTAATACGCAAATACAATTCACATGCAACTGATTCATCTGAAACTCCAACAGAACTAAATACATTATAATTGCTATCATTAGGGCAGTCCAATAATTCTTTTCAAATATTTGAACTTTATTGAAATACATATATTCTTGCACGACTAGTATGATGACACCGAAGATGTCCTTGATATGGATCCATCTAGATAATTTCTTATATGATTCCGTAGATAGTTTTAAAGAGATATTCAAAATAGTCTGTAGCAAGTGCATTCGTGGTTTGCTCAAAATGTACGTGACAATCGCTATAAAACCATTGAGTGTAAGGAAACAGAAATTTTCAAAGGTCCTAGTTATGTTTCCGGAGGAAAACATTTCAGAAATAGTAATCCTATGAATGAATAGCAAATAAAAAACGCAGAAAATGCAGATAATCACGGTTGACATGATGTAGCATGGTTTTGAAATTTCGAAGGTCGACGCATTAATCTTATATGGAAATATTCCGAGAATTTTACTTATGATAAAGTTGGGATACATCAAAGATTGAAAATCCGTAGCATGAAACAGCCATTGCCATTTTTTCCTCATTTTGTCTTTGGCGCGTGTTTGGATTTTCGAATTGAACATAATTAGCAAATATTTTTGGAAGAGGAATAATTTATATTGTAATTCTAAGTGTTATTAATTAGTACACTGAATGAATACACTGAACTATTAGAATTAATAGAGCTTTCTATTGAAATGTAACATTTAAATTCTTCTCTTTATAACAAATGCATTAAGTGAGATGGGACTCTTCATTTTATATACACTCAATGAATTTCAATTTAAACTGCCAGCATATACTGTGTTTAATAGAGAAACAAGTCTGAAGAAACTGTTTGTTAGTAATAAAGTAACCATGGCGTTTTTCGATCGAAACTTTTCACTCTTGAGATAACTATATAAAAGACTTACGTGAAATTGTTTAATATGACTCATAAATTTTATTGGATAAAACAGAATAATACATCTTAAATGACAATATAGCCTATTATAAAATAAAACAAAACAATTATCTTAGATAATTAATTTATGTCACCTGGTATGTTGTATAGATTCACAGACAAATCACATGTCATGACAGGTAACAAATTTTATAAAAACGAGAAAATAGGAAATTTTTGATGAAAGGATATTAAAATTGTTGCAGCAAATGATAAGAATGACCGAAACGATTAGAACATAATTTTACGTAAACAGTATATTTTGAGTTACTAACACTGACTTTCTGCTTGGATTCTTGTCCATTAATTATTTTATTTTAATTATTAAATTATTAAATTGGATATATGTTGAGAAACATTGATATTGATGTGAAAAGAATAAGGAAAACAAATAAAATGTTAATAAATTAATGAGAATAACAAATTAAATTAGAATAAATATTATTATATATCTCTATTAAAATTAATTAATATATTTTATATGAAAAAATTTACATATTTGTTGTAATCCATAAATTACATGTTACTGTAAGACAATTCCTCTTTATATTTCAACAAAACTCAAAAGATACACTAGCAATTTATATTTAATTCATTCTCAGTATTAATATAGATATAGTAGAGCGATTTATTAAAATATATGCACACGTGTATACATGAATCTATGTAAATATAAAAAATCTTTTTTAATGTATCTCATTTTATATAACTGAATTGTTTGCAATACTAATTTCAATTTTTTCATCACAAGAATGTCCCGCGATTAAAAATTGTATCAAAACTAACATGTATGTCGTGATGCCACCCACCATCTGAAAAACAATAATTTAACATATAAATAATATTTTTTATTAATTAAAACAGTAAATTGATTACGTACTGCTGTAAGAAACGTCGCGTCCATAGCGAGACCTTTTGTCAAAAATGTATTTTTGCAATGCAATATTTGCAAAGAAAAAAATTGCAACTGCAACGACAAGTCACAAATACAAGTCAATTAAATACGAGAACGAAAAAGATGGTATTAATAAACATAATTTTAGCAGATTTAATAGTAAACACACAGAAAATTATGTCTATAGATACTATACTATATTCAAAAAAATTACCTCGCTTTTGATTTGCTTATCTCTTGTGCTATTAAGTACGTCATAAATGGTAGTGCCGATTTCTCGGACTTGATTTTTGCCGGTTTCGCAGACCCATACAATTAGCATTACTTTCATAACATAAAGCACCATGGTTAATAAAAATGCATCAAGAAAACGCTGATCAAAAGTAATGATTACCTCACCTTGCCAGTGCACTATGTAATCATATAGTTCACGAATAATTTGAATAAAGGTCACGGTTACAGTTGCAAGAAGTTGCAAGCTGAAGATTATATTTAGCAGTTGCACAATTTCGTTAATCATTAGATGCTGTTTCATCAAAATTTTGAGTTCTATTGCAAAAATTTGGTTTCTCTGTGTTGAGCAAATTAAACTCGTAGAGTTCATCAAGACAGATAATTTCATGCCGTTTGCCATGAATCTTTGCATGTAATTCAGATCGTCATTGATTTTTTTAAAACAGGCTTTTAATATACAAACACAATTAATGTACAACATATTCATATGAAACTCCAGTTGAAACAAATATATTATAAATGCTTTGATTATGCATCTAATAATCCAATTATTTGTTTCAAATAATCGCATTTTAAAGATATACACGTATGCATGCACACTTAACAAGATGGCAATCAAGACATCCTTGATATGGATCAATCTGGATAACTTCTGATAGGTTTCTGACGATAAAAGTTTTGAAGAGATTTCCCAAATTTTCTGCAGTAAGCGCATTCGTGGATTACATAAGATGTGCGTGATTATTATTATCAAATTATTGCACGTAAAGAAGCAGACAGCCTCAAAGTTTCTAACTGTGCTTTCAAAAGTAATTATTTTAGAAATAATAATACCGTGATTGACCAGCAGACATAAAACGAAGGAAACGCAGGTAATTACAATCGACAAGATATAGCGTAATTTCGAAATCTCGAAATTCGAAGCATTGATCTTGTATGGAAATATTCCAAGAATACCACAGTAAAAGAAACAAGGATACATTAAAGATTGAAAATCCGTGGCGTGAAATAGCTTCCACCTTTTTTTCATTTTGCTTTTGAATTTTCGAACTGAACAGAGTTAGTAAAAATTGTTAAGAAAGTAACAGTTTGTATTACATCTATATCTTAAATATTAGTCAATACGTTAAATTCACTCACTGAATTATTAGAATGAACTTTTTGATTAAATGTAATATTTAGATTCGCTCTCTGTCTCTTTCTCTCTCTCTCTCTCTCTCTCTCTCTCTCTCTCTCTCTCTCTCTTTCTCTATCTATCTATCTATCTATCTATCTATCTATTTGACTCTCTGCAATGCCTGTATTAACTATGTGAATTTTTTATTTTATACACTCGATGAGTTTTAACTTAAAACTGTCAGCAAATGCTACGTATAAGGAGGCAAAATTGAAAAAAACCTTTGTTAGTAAGGATGTAACCATGGTATTCTTCGATCGTCATTTCTAACTCTTGCGATGTTTGTATGAAAAATATATACCAATTATTAAGAAAAATATTACTATGTTCTCACAATCTAAAAGTTTAAGGCGCTCGCACGCGCGGAATGCAAAAGATCCAGGTTCGACTCATGACCGAGGTATTTTTCGCAATAAGAATTAATTGTTGACAGATACTAATATATCACTAATATATCATTCATTATTAAAATCATTTTAAAATGGAATAAGCAAATTGTTAAATTGCTAATCAATTTATTTTTTATATACCGCTATTAAATTGAATAGAGTTGATGCATAGTTGATATAATATAATTAATACTGGTATATAGTTGATAATAAAAGAGTATTTCGGTTTTTAGTTCCTAATTTATGTAATACCGATACTACCAGTATTTTTCATATTGTTTGAAATCTCTGGTATTTAACCTGTATCAAAAAATTATTAATTTAAATTTATTAAATGCATGCGAATCAAGATTCATAATAATCTTTTTTGATCAAAGCAACATCGCGCATTTCTAAATTCGAGGCAAGTAGAGTTAAGACATAATAATCATAATTAACTTCAATCAATCCGTGTAGTATAAATTTTGAATTTTTGTAAAATGAATGACCATGAATTGTGTAAAATTGTCTGCAAAGTTTTTCAACTTACGTTGTTATTATCTTGCTATTATACTATATTCATTTATTATCTTTCTGTCATTACAATTAAATGATTTTTGCTATATTCAAGCAAGATTATAAATGCTAATACATTCTAACAAGTACTATTTTTTGTTGATTTATATTTACTTAATTTAAAGAAGCGGATGCGATCATTTTTGTCCCTCATTGCTAAATTCATATCAGCTTCATAATTCCCTAGAAGAATATGATTCTGAACCTCGTCTCTTATGAAACATTACATTTTGAACTTGAATGATTTATAAGGAATTTAACAATTGATATGGAGATATATTTTCTCCTTAATTTTGTTTGAATTTGTGGAGGATGCCAAAATGACATTTATCACAACCTTTCTTTTAAGTAACAAGACATGTCTCAGGGATGATTTAGTTTTGAAATAAATAATAACATTTTTCTGTCGCCATTTATTATCCTTGCAACGTATTGTATAATTGTATTGATTATATACAATCAACTTTAGCATATACAAAGAAGAAGTGCACATAGATCAAATAATTTTTAAATTATTATATCCGTTAATAATGATTATAATGACAATTAATTTTATTTTCCATATTTTATATTAGGTGTAGTAAAAAGAAATCCATTATTTTTACATGAAATTGAATGGAAAAATATTGGATTTCTTTTTACTACACCTAATATAATATTTGTATACAGGATTTTGCATAGTGCCATAATTGCTACAGTAGATTGAAAACATTTTCGATAATGAAATTCTTTACAAGTTTGTCGCAATTCGTAGATTTTAATGCAGAATTTCTTTTATATGTTAGCATAAATACAATGACGCACACTGAAGTGATTTATTTTCAACTTAATATAATATTAATATAAGCATAGATTTTATTTATTTTATTTTTATTATTTTATTTTTATTTCTACGCATATTTATACTATATATACGCATATATTCATATACGAATAATTAAATATATATACATATATATGTATACATACACAAGTATAAAACACTATCTATCTTTTTTTATTATATATCTTATTTTATAACCGAATTATTTGTAATATTCACACCATCGCAAGAATGTGATGTGATCAAAAATTGTATCAAAATTAATATATACGACATGATGCCACCCATCATCTGCAATAAAATATGTATTATGAATGTATATATGAATATATGAACATACATTTAAATACATACAATGTATATATGAACAATATATATTTTTTAATTAAAGTAAATAATTGATTACTTACTGTTACAAGAAGCGTTGCATCTACAGTGAGACCTTTTGTTGAAAATATATTTTTGCAATGTAGTATTTGTAAAGAAAATAGCTGCAACTATAATATTAGATGTCAATGTAATTAAATACAAAAAGAAAAATGTGGAATTGAAAAATATATAATCATATCTTAATAAATTTAACGTTTTAAAAAATTACTTTAAGATTTTTAGAAAAAAAAAATATATATATACATTAAATTTTTATTACCTCGTTCTTAATTTGGGCGTTGCTGGTGCTATTCAGTACATCATGAATGATTGTGTTGATTTCTTGAGCCTGATTCTTGCCAGTCTCACAGGCCCATATAATTAGGATTATTTTTAGAATATAAAATATCATCGATAATAAAACATCAAGAAAGTGCATATCAAAAGTAAAGTGTATTCCATTTTGCCAACGCACTGTATGATAATAAACTTCAAAAACGATTCCACAAAAGGTCATGATTATAGTAGCATGAAGTTGCAGACTGAAGATTAAATTCAACTTTTGCACTGTGTCACTAATCATTAGATGCTGCTTTTGCAGAATTTTGAGTTGTATTAAAAAAAGTTGATTTCTCTGTATGTGATAGATCAGCCTCGGTACACATGGTTTTACTACGAGTTTTTGTAAATGTGCCATATTTTCGTTAAGTCTCTTAAAACATGCTTTTAACACACATACACAATTTATATATAACATATTTATCTCAAATTCCAGCACAGTTAAATATCCAATGAACACTACAATGAGGACATCCTTATAATTTAGTTTAAACATGTGATTTCTAAAAGAATAAATGCTTATTTGCATGATTGACAATATAATACCAAAGATATCCTTGATATGAATTAATTTGGATAATTTTTGATAACATTCTGGAGGTAATGTCGAAGATATTTTCAAAATAGTCTGTAATAGGCGCATTCGCGGACCGCTTAAGATGTGTGTGATGAACATTATGAAACCATTGCACACGTAGTAACAGACAAATTTAAGAGTTTTAGTTGTATCGAATAAATTAGCTTTAAAAATATCACGAATAATTAGTAGATCACAAATGCCGCAAGCGCAGATAATGATGGTCAACAGGATAAAGTACCGTTTTGAAATCTCAAAAGTCGAAGCATTGATCTTGTACGGAAATATTCCGAGAATACGGCAAAAAGTGAAACAGGGATACATTAAAGATTGAAAGTCCGTGGCGTGGAACAGCCAACATCGGTTCCACATTATGTTTCCTTGATATATCTTTGAATTGTCGAATTGAACGATTAGCACAAATTCTTGGGAAAATAACAATCTATTATAGTTTGCAGTCAAATGTTATTCATCAGTATACTTCAGAATTAATATAGATGAGGTTGTGAAAGTTTTTATTTTAAATGTAATTTTCAAATTATCAATTTATTCGTAATAGATGTGTAAATTGATCCACGTGTTATCTAGACTCGATGAGTTTCAATTAAAAACTGCAAATGTGCTGCGTACAGCAAAGATATGAAACCATTTGTTAGTAGTGAAGTAACCATAGCGTTCTTCGATCGGTGTTACAGAAATGTAAAGAAAATATTCCCCAATCCTATTTATTATAAATATCAAGAAAAAAGAATTAACGTTTCGAGATCACAGATCCTTCTTTAGCAATAATTAAACATACAATAATTTTAAAATAAACAGTAATTTAAAATCAAAATATATAATATTCATATGAATCAATAACTCTTGAAAGTATTATAATAAC